TTTTTTTTTTTTTTCTTTTGAGACAGAGTCTTACTTTGTTGCCCTTGGTAGTGCGTGGCGTCAGAGCTCACAGCAATCTCAAACTCTTGGGCTCAATTGATCCTTCCTGGCTCAGCCTCCCAAGTAGCTGGAATTATAGGTGCTTGTCAATACAGCTAGCTATTTTTTTTTTTTTTAAGAGACAGAGTCTTACTTTATCGCCCTTGGTAGAGTGCTGTAGTGTCACAGCTCATAGCAATCTCCAACTCATGGGCTTTGACGATTCTCTTGCCTCAGCCTCCTGAGTAGCTGGGACTACAGGTGCCCACCACAACGCCTAGCTATTTTTTGTTGCAGTTTGGCTGGGGCCAGGTTCAAACCCGCCAGCCTTGGTGTATGGGGCTGGTGCCCTGCCCATTGAACCACAGGTGCCGCCCAACACCTGGCTATTTTTTTTTTTTTTTTAAGAGACGGGATTTTGCTCTTGCTCAGGCTGCTCTCAAACTCCTGAGCTCAGGCAATCCACCCGCCTTGGCCTCCCACAGTGCTGGCATTATGGGAGTGAGCCACTGCACCCAAACATGTTAGATATTATTAAAAGTCTGATTTGAAGATGGTAGTACTTTTGACTGCGTCTGACATATGCCTAGAAGCTATACTGTTCCTAATCCTAGTAATAAAAATAACTGAATAAAAAAGACAGGCATGGTGGCTCACGCCTGTAATCCTAGCACTCTGGAAGCCAATGCAGGTGGATTGCCTGAGCTCAGGACTTCAAGACCAGCCTCAGCAAAGCAGGGCCCTATCTCTACTAAAAAAGGAAACAAAACAAAACAAAAAACCAGCCAGTTACCACAGCAGGTGCCTGTGGTCCCAGCTACTCAGAAGGCTGAGGCAAGAGGATTGTTTGAGCCTAAGAGTTTGAGGTTGCTGTAAGTGATGACACCACGGCACTCAACCCCAGAGCGACTGAGTAAGACACTGTCTCAAAATAAAAACAAACAAAACAAAAAGAGAAGTGCTGTGTCTCTCTAGCACTACTAGTATTAGTTTCACAGATATCACAACTTGCCCAGTTGATGGCAAAATAAGATATTGAGGCAAGTATGACATGGCTGTCACGTTAAGAACTCCTTCCTTCTGCTTTCAGATTCTTTCCTCCTTTTATCCCTATCAAAGAAATCACAGTTCTCTCTGCTTGGTACCTATCAATTTTGCTCATTCTTATAGAACAGAGCCTGGGGCTAAAGTGAAAATAGCCATGAGTATATCTGGAGCCCCCAGCTTCCAGAGAATTATGTTTCAAAAGTTCATCACCCCACATCACATGTGATGGTGCATCTGTAGTCCCAGATAGTTGGGAGGCTGAGGTGGGAGAATTGCTTGAATCCAGGAGGTCAAGGTGGTAGTGTGCTATAATCATGCCTGTAAACAGCCACTGCACTCCAGCATGGGGAACACAGCAAGACCCCATCTCTTTTTTGAGACAGAGCCTCAAGCTGTCCCCCTGGGTAGAGTGCCGTGGCATTACAGCTCACAGCAACCTCCAACTCCTGGGCTCAAGCGAGTCTCCTGCCTCCGACTCCCAAGTAGCTGGGGCCACAGGCGCCCGCCACAACACCCGGCTATTTTTTGGTTGCAGCAGTCATTGTTGTTTGGCGGGCCGGGCTGGAGATTCGAACCGGCCACCTTAGGTGTATGTGGCTGGCGCCTTAGCCACTTGAGCCACAGGCACTAAGCCAAGACCCCATCTCTTAAAAAAAAAGTTACCACTCCCAAAATAAAATAATGGTTGGGTTTCCCAGGCTGTCAGACTTTTTAATACATAATGTATCTGTAATACAGTACAGTTCTAACCACAGGAATGAAAGCTTACCAAAATGTGTAACAATGTTTCTATGAAAAATGCACTCAAGAGTTCCAATTTGGGATATAAATCTATCTATATTTCTTCTCCACTTCTTCCTCCAGGAAGTAGAATCAGTTACTTATTTCAGAAGGATAAAGGTGATTAAGGGTAAGTGGTACATGATGTTATTCATTTATTTTCTTTTCTTTCAAAGGATCTTAGGATTAATCTACTGGCAAAATACTCTGCTGAAACTACTTATTAACTTCCAAGAATTTTTCTCCTCTTCCAGAACTGGTAGGGAATTTATCTGAAGTTTCCTAAGGGCTTTTAATGATCTTACCTTTAATGATTCTGGGACAAAACTAACAAGTATAGAAAGAAACACATGTAAGTTTATAACCATTCCTTCCTTCCTATTTTGCTCTCCATCAGTTCAGCTTTTTTCTTTTTGATTTGAGACAGAGTCTCAGTCACCCTTGGTAGAGTGCCATAGTATCACAGCTCATAGCAACCTCAAACTCTTTGGACTCAAGTAATCCCCTTGCCTCAGTCTTCCAGGTAGCTAGGACTACAGCCCCCCCGCCCCCTCACAATGCCTGGCTATTTTTAGAGAGTCTTGCTTTTGCTCACGTTGCTCTCAACTCCTGAGCTTAAGCAATCCACCCACCTCAGCCTCCCAGAGTGCTGGGATTATAGGCGTGAGCCACCGCGCCCCGGCCCATCTGTTCAGCTTCTTAAAGATCCTGTTTTGGATCAGTCCTAGGACAAAGGTAGCAAGGTCATTTGCAGGGCAACTGAACACTGAAGAGTAATTCTCATGTCTATCAACTGTTGTTTATGAACTATTAATAAGCAAAAGTTCTTAAAACTAGGGTTATCTATACTATGGCTCACTACACAGGTAGATTCAACTTTCTGTCAATTCCAGGTATCTCTCCTTAATGTGTGCTTCACAGTTTCAAGTATTCAGCCTTAAAAGACACCAGAAAAAAAGAGAGAGAGAGAAAATAAACACATGTGTGCAAACAAATGTATATGCCCTATGTGGGAGTTAAGGGGAGTGGTATGGTATAGCAAGAATGTAGAGACTTACCACATGAAGACACAAGAAAGCCAGGCCCATACTTTTTGATATAATAAAAGCTGGGACTCCACAATAAATAGATCCTAAAACTCCTGGATATATCTGAAGAAAAGATTGTTTTTAACAAAAGCTGGGAGTCTATAATAAATAGATTCTAAAACTTCTGGAAATATCTGAAGAAAAGATTGTTTTTCCCCTCCTAAAATGTCCATAAGATTAGAGTGAAGGTGCATATGAATTCACTTCTAATTGGGCTATCAGTTCTCTACAGCACCCTTTATCCAGAAATGACTGTTTTATCTGAAGAGTAAGAACTATGTTTCTCTGTATGCTAAGCAATTTTTGAGGCACTTTGTTTCATTTGGAAATAAGAGGAATTTATGGTCAAGCCAGGTGACATATATATCTTCTTCCAAGAGGCTGGCTTTGGATGAAAAACACCCTCCTCTCATTAGAATTCATTCAAAAAAAAAAAATAAATAAACAGAATTCAATCCATTTTTACCAGCTTTAGTTTATGAGAAGACCCTATCCCTAGAGGCAGCTGAATTGAGCCATACCTCCGGCGAGCACTCATATCCACAGGCTCATCAATGATGTTTTCTTTGCCTGGCCTTCCAGCAGTCCTATTGTCTCCATGAGGCCTGAGATTCCCATTGAGTTTTTCTTCATAGCCCTTGATACCACTGCCATCCTGTTTGGTGGGTAACTCATGTGGCACCTCAAGATTTGCCAAATCCTTTCTCTTGAGCAGTGCCAACATTTTCAGACGTTCCATGGCTTCATGCCCCTCCATTTTGAGTCGCTTTGCTAGGACATCATCTCGCTCATCTGCTGGGTCCAAACTCCTCTTTAGCAAATTCAGGCGAAGAGCATCTTCTGTCATTCTATCCATCCTAGGGAAAAAAAAAACACAAGTAAGATCAGGATAAAGTCCTTTAAATAATTCATAAGAAGGTGAAATGATAAAGTTATTTAGAAGACTCATATATATACACATACACAAACACACAGAAGTTCAAAGGTAACTAAGCTAACTTTCTATATTGTCCTACAACATATATATTTAAAAATTTCTCCACTTGGGGTTGGTGCTGATGGCTCAGTGGGTAGGGGCACTGGCCCCATACACCAAGGGTGGTGGGTTCGAACCCGGCCCTGGCCAGACTGCAACAAAAAATGGCCAGGCATTGTGGCGGGCGCCTATAGTCCCAGCTACTCAGGAGGCTGAGACAAGAGAATCGCCTAAGCCCAGGAGTTGGAGATTGCTGTGAGCTGTGACGCTACAGCACTCTAATGAGGACTATAAAATGAGACTCTGCCTAAAAAAAAAAAAAAAATTTCTCCTCGGCAATTTTTTTTTGTACAGACGGACTTTTACTTTATCGCCCTCGGTAGAATGCTGTGGCATCACAGCTTACAGGAACCTCCAACTCCTGGGCTTACGCGATTCTCTTGCCTCAGCCTCCAGAGTAGCTGGGACTAAAGGCGCCCGCCACAACGCCTGGCTATTTTTTGGTTGCAGATTGGCCAGGGCTGGGTTCGAACCTGCCACACTCGGTATATGTGGCCAGCAACCTACTTACTGAGCCACAGGTGCCACCCTCTCCTCAGCAATTTAAGCAAACTTAAATTTGCTTAAGTGAGGTCTGTTGTCTGTCCTCAATTCAACAGACGTATAGATTCAAAATCTTGAAGATGCCTGTTTTTTTTTTTGTTTTTTGTTTTTTTTTTTGAGACAGAGCCTCAAGCTGTCCCCCTGGGTAGAGTGCCGTGGCATTACAGCTCACAGCAACCTCCAACTCCTGGGCTCAAGCGAGTCTCCTGCCTCCGCCTCCCGAGTAGCTGGGACTAAAGGCGCCTGCCACAACGCCCGGCTATTTTTTGGTTGCAGCAGTCATTGTTGTTTGGCGGGTCCAGGCTGGGGATTCGAACCCGCCACCTTAGGTGTACGTGGCTGGTGCCTTAGCTGGTTGAGCTATAGGCGCCGGGCCGATGCCTGGTTTTTTTAAAGGAAGAACTAGAGTGGTTAGTTTGATAATAAGCAATATTTTATCTACTCATGAAGCAAAATTATTAAAAGCAAGCTAATCATCATCTCTCTCACTTTAGTTTTTTTATACTACAAAATCTAAATGCAGATTTAGATTTTCTCCAATACTCTCAAACCAAAGTTGCTGTCCTAGTAGTAAATAGCAATGATGAGTCATAGGAATATAAGATAAAACTGCTATTTACTTTAATACTTTTTAATATTCAGTAAGTTACCAAAAAGCAACAAGTAAGTTTAAAAAAAAAAGGAAAAGAAAAAAGTGATTAACAAATAAAAAAAAATTCAATAAAGTTACTTTATCTTCTCAAGTTTCAATTTCATCTATAAGAATGGGGTACTTAGAGGTATTATTTCTACAGAGGCATTTCTCTTAGAGGTATTTATTTCTATACCCTAAGTCTATGAGTTCTGCTTAAGGTATGAGATCTGGTCCAATAATAGAATCAAGTAATTAGACAGAAAGGAGTACCAAAGTTAGTTGGTGCCCTTGCAAAGAAAACTATGTATGTGCTTGAGGTATCTTTCTTCTTGCAGTACCGAGTAAAATACGGCTATATGATTCTTTTGCAATCATATGAAGAAAAAGTAAAAGAATTTCAAACAAAAAGAAACATTTTCTTTTTTGGGGGGGGGGAGACAGAGCCTCAAGCTGTCCCCCTGGGTAGAGTGCTATGGCTTCACAGCTCACAGCAACCTCCAACTCCTGGGCTCAAGCAAGTCTCCTGCCTCAGCCTTCCAAGTAGCTGGGACCACAGGTGCCCGCCACAATGCCCGGCTATTTTTTTGGTTGCAGCCATCATTGCTGTTTGGCGGTCCAGGCTGGATTCGAACCCGCTACCTTAGGTGTATGTGGCTGGCGGCTTAGCCACTTGAGCCACAGGTGCCAAGCCAAAAAAGAAACATTTTCTAGAGACCAGAGGAAAAAAACTAAGAACCTGTATGTCTAAATTTTGGGGTAATGTTTCTTAATTCTCTTTCATTTTTTCTATTTTCTTGTCTTGGTTTCTTTTTGGAGGGGGGACAGTCTCACTTTGTTACCCTTGGGAGGGTGCCCTAGCATCACAACTCACAGCAACCTCAAACTCCTGGGTTCAAGGAATCCTCTTGCCTCAAGTTCCCAAGTAGCTGGGACTATAGGCTCCCTCCATGACAGTTGGCTAGCTTTTTCTATTTTTAGAAGATAAGGGGCCTCGATTTTGCTCAGGCTGGTCTTTAAGTCTTGTGCTGAAGCAATCCACCCACCTTAGCGTCCCAGAGTGCTGGGATTATAAGGTGTGAGCCATCACACCCAGCCTACTTCATTTGTTTTAACTGCTGTGTAGAACTCCCTAACAGGTATATACAACTATTCACTATCTAGTTTAACAGTGAGGCATAAATTTATTGATGTTAAAAACTAATGCTGCCATTTTTACTTCCAATCAAGATGATTTAACAGGGAATAGATTTATCCTCCCACTTGAAACAACTGAAAACCAGACAAAACATAATAATGAAAACAATGATATTTAAGACAATGGACATCAGGCAACAAAGGACATCAACCAAAATGGTGAACTCTACAACTGTGTTTGCTTATCGATTTAGGAGAGTTTCTAAGACATACTGTAGGGAAGGGAAACAGAGTCAGAGATTGATAGACTCCAGAGTTGAAGAAATGAAGCTGAGACTATTGTGAGATAACAGCAACTAGGAGACTCCAAAGGGCAAAATATCATAGAAGAGACAGCTATAGAAAAAGAGAGAAGCCCGAAGATCTGTAAAATGATGCCCTCAAATACTGAGAGGATTAAGAGTACTGACCAATGCATATAAGGAAAACTATCCCAGACTGGGAGAAAAACCATTTGAAAGGCAAAGAACATTTAGACAGAGTCCAGAATAATGCCTATTCTCAAAAACCAGACTAGAAAAACTCTTAATTCATATAGTACTGGATAGAATATTTAGGAAGGTCTTGCCTTAGTAGTTGGGAAATTTTAGCTCTTAAGACTAAGCACTGTTGGCTGGCTGCAGCCATCAGATGCATCAGTCATCCCAATGCCATCCTATCTCTCTGCTCCTTTCTCTTTCTTTCTTGGCTTTATTCCATTAAAAAAAAAAAAAAAAAAGACTAAGCACTGTTTCAAACTGGTCTAGCAAGTCATAAAAGTGAAATCCCAAAAGGCCAGACTATTGACAAATACAATAAAGTAAACTGCAAAACAATCCCCAAGAAGATTTACACAAATAAATATAAAATTAACACCCCAAGATACAAAATTAATGTTTGGAATATAATAAAAAATTACCAGGCATTCAAAGAAACCATGACCCGTAATGAGGAAAAAAAAGTCAATTAATAGAAATCTACCTGCCCAGGACTAATTCTGTTAGAATTAGAACTTCAAACAGTTATTATTCTGTATGCTCAGAAAATTAAGTGGAGAGAGGGTGGTGGCCATAGCTCGGTGGTCAGGGCACTGGCCACATACACCAAGCATACTACTGGGTTCAAGTCCAGCCTGGGCTTGCTAAACAACAATGACAACTGCAGCAAAAAAATAGCCAGGCATTGTGGCGGGTGCCTATAGTCCCAGCTACTTGGGAGACTGAGGCAAGAGAATCACTTAAACCCAAGAGCTGGAGGTTACTGTGAGCTGT